TTAACCCATTGCCAACAATGCATATTTTTAAAATTTTTGCTTATATAGTCCCAAGAAGGGTACATTTACAAAGGGTTAACTGTAACTAAAAATGGGTTCACTTAAAATTATTACGTTAGATTTAAACAAAATTTTATACCGAGTTGGTGAAAAGTAACTAAACCTTTTTTTAAACTATTGATTATATCACTTAACGTTTATATCAGTATTACGTAGATATAATAAATAATTATAGAAGTTCAATATTAACGGAAATAGTAAAATAGGTCTCGTTCAGTTATTTTTCACCAACCCGGTATAAGTACAAATCTTTAGTAGATCTGGGTTTATCGCTGTTTTCGAAATGATTGAAAATGGCAAATAATTTTTTTTTAACGTACACTCGTACACTCATACACTCGTATACTCTAAGGTAATCGTGTGTACGAGTGTACACTAAAAAAAAAATATTTCCATTTTCAATCATTTCGAAAACAGTGATAATTAATGTTGAAATTTGGTTTTTTTTTTTAGTAATATCATATTTACCCACTTTACACGTATCTGTCTATTATATAAACATGTGCAATAGGTTCTTTTACGTGTATTTATTAATTCGTAAGCTTCCTTATATGTTTTCAGTACTGTAGTAATATCGATATTACTGTATTAAAAATAGAAAAAATGTATAATTAACCAATGGATATACATATCCAGGTACCCCTGTATAAGAAATAATTGATACTTTATTACATTATAGCGTTGATTTGACTACTATATATATGTATGTGCAATTACGCATTGGTAACACAAATGTTTTTTTTTTGAACAATTCAAAATTTCATTCTTTTACTTTATCAAAGCCGTGTGTTGGTAACAACTGCTTTTTTTTTTAAACAATTCAAAATTTCACTCTTTTACTTGTATCGTAACCAACCAAAACTAAAACCTAACTTTAACTAGCTACTAACCTGAACCAAAGACCTACTTGTAACTGAAGGTTAGTAAAAAACTAAAGAAAACCAAAGCTAAATTTCAATCTCAGAATTAGTAAATTTTTATTCATATATTGAAAAGCAAATTTAATGTTCTTTATTATTATTAAAGTCCAACCAAAAACTAAAGCACAACTCAAATCTAACATCAAACTAACACCCAACCCAAACTAACGTCAAACTAAAGCCCAACCCAAAATTAACATTCAACCCAAACTAAAGCCCAATCAAAACTAAAGCCCAATCTAAACTGAAGCCCAACCTAAATTAAAGTTCAATTAAAATTAAAGCCCAATCCGAAACTAAAGCCTAATCTGAAACTAAGCCTATTTTGAAACTATATGAAAGGTATTTATTTATTTTTTTTGAGACTTTTGAGAAGTTCAAATATTGTTATCTTACAATAATATTTTTTAGATCCCAATCCGTAACTATGTTTCAATCTATAAATAATGTCCAACTTGAAACTATAGTCCAATCTATAACTAATGCTCAACCCGAAACTATGGTTCAATCTATAACTAATATCCAGCTCCAATCTGATATTAAGGATCAACTTGAAGCTAAAGATCAACCTGAAATTAAGAAGCAACTTATAAATACAAAACAGCTTATAGCTGGAGACAGTAATAATCTTAATTGGATATTTGAATTGCAAGACATATTTGAAAATTCATTTCAATTACAAGACATATCTGAAGGTTTATATCAAAATATTGAAGAATCATATGATAATTTGTATGAGAATAATGAGCCAGAGGATAGCATAGTGAGTGAAATTTATAGTGATTTGGATGAAGATAGTTATGAGGATGATGAGCCAGAAGATAGTATAGTAAAGGAAATTTATAGTGGACAAACATTTATATCATTTGAAATACTTGAACAATGTTTGAAATGATATGTTAATTGAACAGGCTTTGAAATAAGAACTGTAAAATCTGAAAAAGAAGAGGGTAATTGGTCATGAAAAACATATAAATGTTATCATAGTGGGAAATACAAACCTAAAAAAAAGTGGATCCTACCCAAAACCGAGACAAAGAATCAGTTTGTATTGATTATAAGTTTACAGTAAATGCATCATATCGTAGATCTAAAAATCTAGTATTTGTTAACAAATTTGTTAGTCAACATAACCATAACTTACAAAATCAAGATTCTCTTCAAGAATTTTTACCAGCATTATACAAAATACCAGGTTAGATAATAGATGAAATACAATTTTATGTTCAAGAATATCATATTGGGACTACAGTTTTAAAAAAAATATTAAGAAAAAAATATCCAAATCAAGATATTCATTCTCAAGATCTTTACAATGCAATACATAAATTCAAGACTGATACTCAAGTTAAAAATAATGCTGCTGCACTTCTTGAATATTTAGTTCAATTATGTTCCGAAGATCCTGAATATTATTTTAAGATTAATTTTGAGAGTAATAATAATAGGCTGACAAAAATTTTTTGGATGTCTTCTGAGCAAAAGCAACTGTGAATTCGATACCATGATATTATTATAAATGATAATACATGCAAAACAAATAAATATTTAATGTCTTTAAATGTTTTTATAGTAAATGATTCTAATCAAAAAAGTCATATAGTAGCAATAGCGGTAGTGTGTGATGAAATGGTTTCAACCTATGAATGGATCTTAGAACAAACAAAACATGCAATAGAAGACCTTCAACCAAAAACACTTTTTATTGATACAGACCCAGCAATACAGATTGCAATAAATAATCAATATCCCAAAATAATTATAAAGCATTGTGCTTTTCATATCTGACAAAATTTAATAAAAAAAGTTAAACCAAAACTTTAACATAAGTGGAACATTTTTATTAATAATTTTTATACCTTACATAACTCTCTTACAAATTCAATTTTTGAATGCCACTGAAAAGATTTAATAAATAAATATTTGAAAATTCAAAAATATTTTAAACAAGTATTGTATCCAAACAAAACATGTTGGGCTCATACATATACCAAACATAGTTTTTTAGCAAATACACATTCAACTCAATGTGTAAAAAGAATAGAGTTATAAAATTAGAGACTAATTTAGAAAATTCTTTGTGTCAGCTTCAGTATGGAATTGAATTGCGGTTAAAAGATAAAGCCAAGTATTTCAGATAGCAAGAATTTTGAAATATGAACCCTACTAGTGAAGTTCTTTAGATTTCTAATACTATTTTAAGTACATAGATAAAACATTTAAAAAATATCTTACACCGAACTCACTAGCATTATAATGAAAGCAAATGGTAAAAGTCTGTTGTATAGGGTTAGAATGAAAGATCTTGGTAATGTAATAATGCAGAAATTAGATCAGTACAATATAGGATTTCTTGAAGATGATTATGAAAAATCACAAGTCTTAGTTAGTATGGCTTTAAAGGATTGTTCAAAGAGTATTTTAAGTAAAATTTGAGAGGTTAAGCATCTTCAAACAATTACAAATAAATCACAATATGTAATTATATTGAATGATGGTACATATTACTGCACTTGTCTTTATTTAATTTATACAGAATTTATCTGTAGACACTTTTTTGCTGTAATGCTTCAATCAAAAGAAGCACAATTTAATATCAAACTTGTGCTATCCAGATGGGATTCGAAGAAAAAAACTTTTATTAAAGGAAAAGATACAAGAAAATTCAATTTGGTTAATTCAAACAGAAGATACTGAATTGCAAACTGGCATTTTTCAAACTTTAAATACTATCTGTGAATAAGAAATTTTTGATAAATCTTTTACAAATTTAAATTCAAGAAAAGACTTATATGGTCATAGTATTGGACTTTGTAAAAAGGCCTTAAATTTAGTGATTTCAAATCATTCTACCCAATCATTTGAAGAACTTTTACAACAATTTATCAAACAACAAAATACTCTTATTGCACCAAACAATAATTCAATAGAATCGTCTAAAAATATGGTCAGTATTACAAATCTACTTCAACATAAAGGAAAAGAACGACCTACAAACAAAAGACACTTGTCAGCTATTGAAAATCAACCTTCTAGAGAAAAAAAGAAAAATAAAAGACAATGTTCTATATGCAAATCTTGATACCATGATTCAAGAAATTGTTCTGTAAAAGATAGTTAGCATGATAAGAAAAATAATTAATATATTAGATTTGGCTTGCTTTAGGTTTTTCTGGTTTAGTAATGTTACTATAACAAGTGTGAGTTGTATGTATATTTAATCAAAGTGAAAAACTTATATTAATATGAAATTTTAACCAACCTTAATTCTAATATTTGCTAAATTTTGTTGCTGCCGTTATATTTTAATATTTGTCTAAAGTTTAACTCCAAGTACTTGAAATTGTATTTGACTAAAAGTCAGATACAATTTCAAGTGCTTGAAGTTAAATTTTAAACAAATACAGTACGGGACAGTAAAAGACATCCAATCTATACATAGAGGCGCCAATTTTGATGCTTATATAATCAATTCTGATTGGCTAATTTTTGTGTAATTGATTCTGATTGGTTAAAATTATATATATG